ACTGCACAGTGAATTTTCACTTTTTCTCACATTTTTGACTGTGGAATAATAAATTTTTATATGAGAGAAGGAACTCCCGCAGGTGGCATGAGGTACCAATTTTTACATGTTTATTAAAGTACTGAAATAAATGTACAACACAATATCGTCAACACAACACATGACATATAAATTAAAGTAGAGTTCCCTAATGAATAAAAATATATAAATAAAAGCGGCTTCATGTTATGAAATATATATATATACAAAATGTACTGTTATGCAAATCCCAGACAGGCTTTCAGGCCTTAGAATATCCTTCTTGGGCATAGAAACTCCAGAAATCAGAGTTCTCTGATTGACATGTAAATGAGCACAGACAGGCTTTGAACATGTTAAGGTGAATGTTAGGAGCTAGTGGATCATGAAATATTGTGCCCATGGTTCTGTGCTCTAAACTCTCCCTTGTTTATTTGTAGAAGTTAAAGGAAATGCGTAGGAAGGAAGAGAAAGAAAGGTTACAGGAAAATCCAATTATTGCTCATCCAGAAAAACCCTTATCTAAAGAAAAGTGCTTATTGTTTGTATAAAATGTGGTATTAGAGCAACACAAAAAAATACCAGGTTTATCTAAAGCAATAATATGTATACAGAACTGGTGCACATAGAAAAACGTAGGTTTATAGTGTTATGATTGACAAATATTTATAGTAATTAGCAACCAGGTATATGCATGTGAGAGCCCACTGTATTCTTTATAGGAACTGAGGAAGATTTATACCCATAGACTTCCTTAAAAAACAAAGAATACACAATATATGGAGCCAGCAAGAACATAAATGAATTCATGGTAAGTTACAAATATTCAGATTTGTAATTATCCCCTTTGCATAAAAATTTATCCTATATTCTCAAACCAAGTGTAACTGTTCAAACTAAGCTGGGCCGGAATTTCCCATTTGGTAGAGTAGGCACTGCCTACAGTCGCTAGTCTTGTAGAGGGCACCTACATACAGCACTTTTTGGAGCTTAGGTGAGCTGGTAAGTTGAGATCAGTACCAGGAGTCTTGGCCAACATAGTCTCCTGTATTAGAGAAGTCTCCTATGCTTAATAGCAGAACTGCAAGAACAGTTATACAGGTAGAGAGTGTAAAACCCAGTGATATCCAAGCTCCTCCAGTGTCTATGTATAAAGCTAAAGTCCTTTAGAGTTCTGGAGAGTCCAAAACAGGGCCGGCCTTAGGGGTGTGATAGCTCACATGCAGGGCCCGTTGATAGAGAGTTAAAAAACCCAGGGATGTAGGGGTAGAGCTTAATTACGTGGTGGACGGGGCTAATTGGACAACAGGGGCGGAGCTAACTGTGGCTGGTACCCGCTGCCCTGAGATCGAATCAGGAAGTAGTCCAGGCTTCCCCAACAACTAGGGAACACCAGGAACTGCACTGCCTCCACTCCTTCCCCCAGTACCTTTGATAGAAAGAGAGGTAACTGTGTGTGTGTGTATGTGTGTAAGACTGTCTGCCTGTTATTATCTGAATATCTTTCTGTGACTGAGTCTGTGACTTTCTGTCTGTGACTGAGTGTGTGACTGTCTGCCTGTGACTGTTTCTGACTTCTGCCTGTAAGTCTGTGTGTGACTGTGTATGTATGTGTCACGGTCTGCCTGTGACTGAATGTGTGACTGTCTGTAACTGTATGTGACTTTCTGCTTGTGACTGTGTGTGGCTGCCTGTAACTGTGTGTGTGACTGTCTGCCTGTGACTGTGTGTGATTGCCTGTGACTGTGTGTGACTGTCTGTAACTGTGTGTGACTGTCTGTAACCGCGTGTGACTGACTCCCTGTAACTGTGTGTGTGACTGTGTGAGTGACTATGTGCCTTGAATTGTGTGCATATGGCTGTATTTGACTGCATGTGTGTATAACTGTGTCCATCCAACTGTGAGTCTGACACACATACAGAGACACACACATGTGCGTGCGACACTGAAAAAATACACATCTGCATTCACACATTTGGCCTACATGGATTGTTTATTAATTTGAATTAAATACCAATCACAAATATCACACATAGTCAATACACCCATAATCAGTGGTGTACACACAATCCATGGGGCCCCGGTGCAAAACTGATCCGTGGGCCCCCCTCACACCGTGACCCTTTCCCCCCTAACCATGGCCCCCCCGACACACACATACAAACACATACACACAGACACACTCCCCCCCAACAGACACATACATACACACTCACAGATACATACATACACACATGCAGACACATACATACAGAGACACACACACAGACAGAGACACACACACACACGCACAGAGGCACACACATACACACATACAGAGACACACACATACATACACACATGCAGAGACACAGACACATACATACATACACACACACAAACATACAGAGATACAGACACACACATACATACACAAAATGTTTCCTACCTTGTGTGACTTTCCCTGGGGGGTGGCTCAGCCTGATGGGAGTCAGAGTTCCCACTCGGACTCCCTCCTCCTTCCTGCTTCCTCCCGCGCGGGCTGATAGCTGGGAGGAGTGACCGGGGAGTCACTTCCTCCCAGCAGTGATGTAGTCACAGGGGGCCTGGTCGCGCTGTTAAAGCGCCCAGCACCGAACAGGCCCCCTGATAATCCATGTCCATCGGGTGGCCCTGACAGCATGGGCCACCCGATGGACCCCTTAACATGCGGCCCCGGTGGTTTGCCGCATGGGCCGGGGCCGCAAAGCGTGGAAGGTGGAGTGCCGGGCTCGGTCGCAGCTGCGACCCCTGCGACTGCGGTATGTACACCACTGCCCATAACAAATATGAAGGAGCAGGCGCAGACCGATTTCCCATACTACATACGACCAGGGAGGGGCGCAGTGTAGATTTTTCGCACAGGGCGCCTAAAGGCTTAAGGTTGGTCCTGGTCCAAAATTGGATGATCATGCCCAGAAAGGGGGTAGGGCTGCCCACAAATGGGGAATGTCAACCTGGGTGAACGCACCTCAGAAGGAATACACAGAGGTCAGATATTTGTGTAAGCACAGCACAGGCATGTCTAATGACGTGCTTGTGCTGTGCTGGCTCAGGACAGTTCCCGGGGTGGTGCAAAATCAGAATGGTGGGATTGGAGTTTGAAGTTGAGACATTTGTGGGAAATGAATGGTATTTTATCAAGACTAGTGGACATACAAATAGAAAATTAGCACTATAATCTGAAATAATAGTGTGAAGTGAACCAAAGGAATTTTAAGGACAAGTCACTTGATTATGTTATATGTTTCTATTTATTTATCTATCTATCTATCTACCTACCTACCTACCTAATCTCTCTGTGTTGTAAATAAAAGCAACCGACAAGAATGCAGGAGGAGGGGAGGGGCATTTAAGACAGAGCAGAATTTCCTGTCTCTGAAAGTCATGCACAGAAAAAAAAAATCGATGTGAGAGAGGAAACAGGCAGCAAGAGGTTTGAACAGATACATTCACAAGAGACCGAAGATTTTAACTTGTGTCTAGTCTAAGGTGTCTTAGCGCTGCATTGAGAGGTATGTTCAGAAACCACAATGTATGGTGTGTAGACAGTAATTGTTCCTGACTCCGTTTATTTTCTCACTTTTTTTTTTTCATTTTGCTTTTTAAAAAGTTCATAATTGTTTTTTAACTATCAGTTATGTTATCAACTCTCGTCTTTTCTCCAACTCTCCCTATGGCGTCTCTTCAATTCTTCGTATGCTCTCTCTCCCTGTGATCTTTTACACTCTCTTCCACTATCCCTGTGTTCTCTTACAATCTCCCCTTGATGTGTTTTTCACGCTCCCTGTATCGTACCATTCCAGCAGAACGTGTCAATCTCTCTCTCTCCTTGTGCTGTCTCTTTCACTATTACCAGCCTACCTCCTCCAAAATCCCAAACTCTTGCTCCCCCTCTCTGACAGTGTGATGCTCCTCTTGCTTCTTTAAATATAAATCCTCACTAACTTTAATAAAAATACACCTTTCTTAATAGAAATGTTTTAAAGAAATGATCTACACAGTTTTATTTTACAGATCTTTCACTTTCTATTAAAAAACATATATTGTATTTTTTTTTCATCATATACCCTTTGCTGTTCAATCTCAAATAGACACACATCGCAGCAGGATCTTATAACCTGAGATAAATGGGATAGCTGGTTTTATACAAGGAAAAATGTAGACTTTTATATAAACCACATGTCATATCAGACAAAAGACTGTATCCCTCATTCTCAGACTACTATCTGTCTGCTTATGGATTTATACATCATATATAAACAGAGCAAGCCCGTTTAAATAGTCAGTAATGAGTAACATATTTAGTAACTAATTGCCTCACTGTTGTTAATATTCAAATACAGCCCTGCTTTTTGCTGCTATTTATTTCCCTGAGTAAACAAAACCCTGTGAAAAGCTAAAATAGGCATTGGGACTTTATTCAATAATCCTCAACTTAATTTATACATAAAAAAACAAAACAAAACAAACAACAGCAAACAAAACAGAAGTCCATGAGAGTTTGTGTTTTGACATGGTATCAGTAAGTTTTGCAGGGGTGTACACTTATCAATGTAATGTGTCAGAGAAATGTCCAGAACACTAAAAAAAAAAAAAAAGTTAGTTTCTTACGGTTGAATAGAAAACATGCAATAGAAAGGTTGTGGCAGGATGGGGGGGGGGAAAAGAGATGTTCTGAGTGATGGGTGTTGCATAGACTTGGCTGAGTGTAGTGCAAACAAAGGCTAAATTACTTGACTATAGGGATGTGCATGGGTGAAAAGTTTGTTTCAATTAGTTTTTTTTTTTTTATTATTTCAGTTCGTCCGAAACTTTGGAAATTATCGATTCGGAACAAAACGAAATTCAGAAAAGATCTTGTTCACTTCTGAAACTCAAACGCCCATTATTTCCAATGGGGGTGCTGTTTAGCAGATAGCTCCCTAATTTGGAAACCTTCAAAATGGTAATACCACATAAGGGTACCAAATTAGGGAGCTATCTTCTAAACAGTTGAAAGACCAAAATTCCACACGACGTTGTTTTACAATTTTGATATTTCAGCTGTTTAGCAGATAGCTTCCTAATTTGATATCCTATGTATATCACATACATTCTATACATATTATACATACACTGTATACATTCTATATACATGCAGCACTTACATTCTGTTGCCATATTTAAGGATACCAAAACAGGAAGTTATCTACTGAGCCCTAATATGGTGCCTTTATATATGGCTGTCACATAAATGTATATCAAATGCGTGTCCTATATGTATACAATATGTATATACTTTATGTATATAGAATGTATGTGACATAAACAGCATACCAAATTAGGGAGCTATCTACTAAACAGCTGAAAGATAAAAATTAACTCCCTTTTCTTATTTTTGCTCTTTTAGCAGTTTAGTTTAGTTTATAGCTCCCTAAATTTGCTATCATGACGTGGGATTGCCATAAGGATACTTATGAAATAACGACGTAACCTGCGAACCATTATGTGTTAAAGTGTAGGTGTGTGTGTGTGTATATGTATGTAAACATTGTATTATTAAAAAAAAAATTTAATATTGTAACAATGCAATGTTTTGTAGACCAAGGACATTCTTGAAATCAAGAGAAATCTCAATGTATCGTTCACGGTAAAATATTTTATAAATAAGTTAATACATTTTACTTAAAGGGAAAGTGTTTAATTATTTTGGAACAAAACATTTCAGAAATGCCAGAAAAGCCTTAGCCATCAAAAACTTATGCATTTTAACCCTTAGCAGAATAGAGTACAATTTGTTTTGAGAAGTACAAGCTACACAATTTATTTATCATAGTTTGTATTTAAATTGTTATTGTTATGCCATAAATATTTTTTAAGTGTGTGTATTTTCATGTAGTTTTTTTAAGTTATGCCTTTGTTTACACCATTACCTTGACCTTATATTTTATATATGCTTACACAAATACTGTTCTTGGCATTCAGAATCAATAATCTAAGATCTCTGTTTAGCTATACAATAATTCTTTTCATCTTCTAATTACTTCTTTTTTTTTTGTATTTTAAACAGGAAATGAAATTAAGCAGGCGGTAAAAGAATCCTACCTATTCAAAATGGAACCCTGTACATGCATCCATTGAAACAATTGCATTATGCCAAGTCTGCATACATAATCTAAAGAACAGTTTGAGTTGTAAAAGAAAGGTGTGTTTTTTTTTTTTTTTTTTTGAAGAACAACTTCTTCATGGTTAACAAATACCTTCACTGGATTTCAACTCAAGTTAACGGTTTGGTTAAATATTTGTAATTATCAGTTACAAATCTTATTGCTTTGCATTTTTAAACTCATGGACACAGAAAATCATTATACTAAAGACATTATGCATTATTTTATATTCATAAACCAAGGACAATATTTTGCTGAAATATTTTTTTGTTTATGCCAGCCATTAACGGAACATGGACTGTTGTGAACACACATTTTGCAAATACATTAGTTTTGACATTCAATAACAAATATATATTTTGAGAATTTAAAAGACAGTATTTGGAAATTTATCCTGATTGATTTCTGACTTAAACGAACAGTCAATTCGTGATATTTTTATTTATAATTAATATAAGTTTTTTTTTTTTTTTTTTATTCTACCAAAGAATCGATTGGATGTATTTAAGACCTTGTCTAAGTGTCACCGTTAATGGAAGAACACGTTCAGTTACTTTTAATTTGAGTTCATAATAAGGAAAAATAATTTTTAAATCTATTGGTTAAGTACTTGTTTGCAGCTAGGAATCGTGGATGGAATTAACAGAGTAACAATCCAGCCGGTCATTTAGAAGATTAAACATCAAATTTTCCCGTGGATTGGATATAAATATATATATATATTTTTTTTACAATGACTTTGGGTAAAGAAATGCAGGGAAAGTTGATTACCATCAGACTCCAGATAGGCCTATCTCGTGAGGTCTATAATCTTAATCCAAGTGATGCTGTCTTTGGGAATGTGAAAAAATTGGCAGTGGACCTTGTGGAGAAGAAGGTGAGTAGTGATTATTCATATTAAATATTTGAATGTTCGTATAAATAGCATCAGTTTAAAATAATTGTGTTGCATCCAAGTAGCGTGCTTTATTTTTAGGCCCACAAGTGCTTCAGTTTCCCTTTTGAATAAGTTTGACTAGAAGAATGAATATTCAAAATGATGCACATATAGCAGTATCTAAAAACAAAATATCACAGGAACCCAGGTCTTAACCTACAATGTGCTTGATGTACGTTCATATTAACCACAACTATAACAGGCTTCCCCAGTGATGTCATAGCACATAAAACACATTGGCTCAAGCTCCAGGATTGATGGCTGCTCTACAGAGTGTATATATAGGTCATGAGTGCCTTCTATAACACATATGCTGTAGGTTTTCATTAGTACTGGCACCGATTAATCAGTTTGCTGCTCAGTCATTTTCTTAATGACACATGCTCATTAAAAAGTTAGTAAAACCATCACTAAACATAAACTACAGCCTTCACTTTATGGATTGCAGAAACTATATACTCCGTGTTGTAAGGAATGCTAGGGTTAGGAAGTGCTAACATAAAGTTTAGTGTAGTAAAGAAAATGTTATTGCTTTTGCAAAAATTGTGGTCACACCTTCATTAACATTTTGTCCTGATGACGGTGCAAGACTTGTTTATTTACTACTTGATTGGTCACTTGAATTCTTCATGGCAATTTCTTCTATCATAAATTCTAGCATTTAAAACTGGTGTTCAACTGAGTTTAAGCAGTTTGGTTGGTACCAAAGTACTGGAAATAGCTTTAAGATAAGACTGTATATAATTTTAAAAGGCATTCATGCACCATCTGTTTATGACGGTCAAAGTTACTAGTGTTATGCAGATTTTAACAATTTGAACAAATATCCCAGAATTTCTCCTGCAAATTTATAATTTGTAGGATGACCATCTTCTGCAGCGCTTTACAGTTATTCATTGGGTTATTTAACAACAAGTAATTGAGAAGAAAATTATGTTAATAGACACAGGAGATGAAAAACGATCTGCTGAATCAAGTTTACGCAAATAAAAATAATTATTACACATGGGCATGAAGACTTCCTGCCAATGGCTTTTTTTTTTTTTTTTTTTTTTCGAAATTAATACAGTAGGTCAGTATTGGTCAGAAATTGTACAAGCCTGTTTATTTTATTGGGTAGAAAATAAAACCTGTAACTTGTCAATTAAACCTCCAAAAATATGCTTGGTTTTATAGAATAGTCCATCACTGTTCTGGATAGAATGGAATCCAGTGGAGGTGGTTTAATAGGCAAATAGAAAAACATTCTAGTTATATTAAGCATCTCTGCTTAATTCTACTTGTAGCTGGAGGAAACGCTGTTTGCCACAAATATATTTTTATTTTATTCAGAGCATGGGTGCCGAACAGCATGCCTACCACGTCTTGGAACTTCATCGCCCATACTTTGTGCGTGAGCCATAGATTGGTAGAATATTATGGAAGTGAGTTTTTATTTTTATTCCCTCTAGCAGTGAACCGAAAAAGTGTCCCACTGAGACAAGCACTTCATAACTAAACTGTTTTTGGTTACAATGCTAGTTTTGTCATTTAGAAAGTAAATTAGTAAGGGTTAGATAGATCTAGCATGCATGTTTGACATTGGTCGGTATGTTGACTCAGATAAATGTTACTTCAAAAAGCATTTCTGGGAACTGAACTAAGCTTCATGTCAAAATCAGGTTATTTTTGGTTTTTGACATTGTAAGTTCTGCAAAAGAACTGGAAAAGGTATTTATGATGGATATTACTGTACTTGGGTCTTTGATGTAGTAGAACACAAACAAAACTTGAAACTCACCAAAATTCTGTATATTTGTTAAAAAAAAAAAAAGGTAATCTTGAAAAGATTTAAAATGTCCCATACTAAATAGCCTAAGTCATCTTTCTTGCAAATGGGGTGCCATGTTGGGGTTAAAGTGCAGTTGCAGGTCAATGTTTTGCCCCCAAAATGACAAAGTTCCTAAATCAATTGGTGGAACTTTGGATCCTGAAATTTGCATGTCTGTACTTTGACTCTATAACTTCTCAAAAATCTTGCCTTACTCAATTAGCACAGTATAAACGTGGGGTCTTACCGTAGTGGGACACATGGTGATTGAAATTACACATGAAACTAAAAAGGATGTGAAAATATAAACAAGTAAATATGACTTGATTTGATAAAGGTTAGTAATAAAATGTGTGTGTGTGTGTGTGTGTGTATGTATGTATAATATATGTGTGCTCGGAATTTAATATGTACTTCTACATCAGAGGTGAGTAGGGGCTGGGAGATTAAGTAGGGGACTTACTCCTCCCACAAATTCAGGCCTAACTGCCTTTCTACTTTTGCTCGGAATTTAATATGTAATGGATAGTGTCTGAGATTAAAGTTTGGTTGTGGGGTGCCGAAACAAACATCCGAGTGGGCCTGTAAATAAAAGAGGGCAAAAGAGAAGTTCAAAGAAACACACTTTATTGCATTTTTTTTTTTTTACATAACTAAGTTCCTGAAGGCTAGGTGAAGCTCTCTTTCGGGTCGTGGTATGTACGTATGGTATATGGAGGATTTCCATCGACCCAGTCTCTTGATGATGTGGACGGAGGTGTTTGTACTAGAGGCTGATGAAGCGGCTCCTATGCGGTAGGAATGCCCAGAGAACGAAGCCGGGTTGTAACCCAGTTTTGACAATAAGATTCTAACGTGCATTGTGAATTTAGCTGTGGTGAGTGGGTGCCCTTGTAGTTGTAAGAGCAGAGAGTCTGGCAAGTGCATGTTATGAGTTGACCGTAGGTGGTTTAGTGCCTTAACAGGACACCAAGCATTATCTGTTGGAAAGAGGGGGATGATAGTGGGGTGTAGTGAATGATTAGTTTTGGTAGATGGGATCGTGAGACCGTATTACTCCTCTACTTTAGTGAGTTGTGAGGTTTTGAGGCTGTGTGTGATATCTCCTTGACAAACAACGGTAAATTCCCTAGGTCTTAGGAACCCGAAAAAGGTAAATAGATAGCAGACTTGATCACCAGG